ACACTGTTTTGATAACTATAGCTTTATAATAAGTCTTAAAATCAAATAGTGTGATTCTTCCACATTTATTATTATTCTTACTTTTGAGTTGGAGTCTCACTCCGTCACCCAGGCTGGAGTGCAGTGGCACACTCATGGCCACCCCAGCATCAACCCATTGGACTTGGGTGATCCTTCTGCCGCAGCCTTCCAAGTAGCCAGAACTACAGGCACACACTATCACACCTGGCTAATTTTTTTATTTATTGTAGAGATGAGGTCTCACCAAGTTGCCCAGGCTGTTCTTGAACCCGTAGGCTCAGGCAGTCCTCTCACCTCGGCCTTCCAGAGTGCTGGGGTTACAGACTTGAGCCACCACATCTGGCCATTTTTCTTCTTTCTTTAGGGATACCTGCTTGATAATACAATTTTAATTTGGTAGTAATTTTTTTTTTAAGCATGCTGCAGGTATTAAACTGTCTTGGCTTCATTGTTGGTTTTGAAAAATCAATGATTCTAATGTTGCCCTTTGAATGTCATCTATTTTTTTCTCTGCTTGCTTTTCAGATTTCTCTTTGTTTTTGGTTTTTGCTTTTTGAGGCAGGGTCTTGCTATGTCACCCAGGTTGGTGAGTTCAAGCAGTCCTCCTGCTTCAGCCTCCCGCAGTGCTGGGATTACAGGCATGAGCCACCTCACTCAGCCTCTTATTTTTTCATAGTTTTGACTCCTGCTACGTTATTGTAACTTCTAACCTGTTTTTCAGTTAGTTCGTTTTCTTTTCAGCTTTGTTGAATTTACTGTTAATTCAGTGCATTTCATTCATATCTAAAAGTTCTGTTTTGTTATTTCTTTGTTTGAAGTCTGCTAGGACAGTGTATTTGTAAAAACATTTGTAGGACACATTTGAGGCCGACAGCAAGGTACTTTTCTCCATCGAGTGCTTGTGTTGGGTATTAATAGAGATGACTGGCCCAGGGACCACTTTAAAACAAGCCAAATATTATATTCTTACCATTAGTGCTTTAATTTCTCTCTGGATCTTCCACTCCCCATTCACTATGGATGGATGATAACTCTCCAGCTTACTATAGAGAGGTTCTCCTGTTAGACTATATTGTGAGAGCTCTGGGCATTGTTTTATGTGAGAATAAATTCTAATATTCAGAGATCAACAAAGGCCCTTTGGACTTCCTTATTTGTATACTTCTCTGGGTTCTCATTTTTTATTCACTTTTGGCTATAATTGCTCCTCTGTCTTAGTTAAGAATGAGTATGTGTATGTTTAATCCATTCTCTTTAGTTGTCCTCAGTAGGAACATTGATTCAAATAACCTAGCCTACCATTAATGAAAACAGGAAAATTGCCTGCAAAAATCTTGATTTTATACTTTGAAAACTGGTGAGCTCTAACTGTACTTTCAGAGATTATCTATATTCCTTAGCTGCTTGTCTTTCTGGGCATTTTGCTTTGTGACTCGTATTAGTTAGCGTTCTCTTGATGGAACCAGTAGAATAGATATGTAGACATACAAGAGGGGGTTTATTAGGGGAGTTGGCTTACATGATTATGGAGACTGAGAAGTCCCATGGCAGAATGTTTGCAAGCTGGAGATCCTGGGGTGCCAGTAGCATCAGTCTAAGTCCAAAAGCCTGAGAACCCTGGGGCTGGGGAGTTGGGGTGGTCTCTGGTATAAATCCTGGCATCCTGATTTCCAAGGCAAAAGTATTTTCCTGGTTCTAGGAGAAAGAAGGGAAATACTTTTCTCCTTTTTTTTTTTGTTCTCTCCAGACCCCCAGCTGATTGGATGGTGCTCATCCACATGGAGGGCAGATCTTTTCTACTTGGTCTCCTCTGGAAACACCCTCACAGACACCCAAAAGTAATGCTTTATTCGTTCTCTATTCATTCTCTAGGTAGTCTTTATCCAGTCAAGTTGACACCTAAAATTAGCCATCACATGACCTCTGCAGTAGAACTGATTTGTATAGGGTGTAGAGAAAGGAAAATAAAGAGATTGTGAAGGTTGTGATTTAGTGCTTTTGTTTGTTTTAAGCACAGAATGGTACTGAGTAGAGTAGACACAGTCTCCAAGTCAGATATAAAAGAGTGACTGATCTGATGTGCTTCTTGTAGGGGATAATGAAGTGTACTAGACTTTGATTATTTTAGGATACATATAAGATATATTTTAGGATATACAGGGTCTTTAAAATTCTTGCTTAAAGTGTTGTGCATTCCAATTTCTTGTTTTAATGGTTTTCATCTGAATGATTCCCATGCATTCTTTAAAACTAAGCTTTTCTGTTTTTTAACAGCTTTTCCTCAAACATTTTAGGAATTCCATATATATTGATTAAATGAATGATGAGTTGGTGGTGGCTTAAATATCCTTCAATACCTGCAAAACACCATGACTTAATTCTTTCAAGCACTGACCACTTTATTGTTTTCTTTGTTCTCTTTGGACAGAGATACTTTCTCTTTATTCTCCAGAGCCTAGAGAAAGAATTTCTTCCAGGCAGTTGATCACACATTTCCTAATAATAAGTGCTCAATGCTCATAGATGAGCATTCTGCTCTTGATTTCGAAAAGAAGAGAAAAATTAAGAGAAACTATGGACATTTGAAATAACTAATTCAGATAATATTAGCTTCTCCTGCTTTTTTTTTTTTTAATTCACTTGCCCTTCTAATCATTGCCACTTTTTTAAAAGGAAAAGAGCAAATATGTTTGACTAGATTCTTATCTTTCTTCTACCACAAGGTAGGAAAGTGTATATCGTTAGGCTGCCCTGAGTTGTACAGATCTGGTGTATCTCTTTAATAGTTTTTGCGGCCTGATTGCTTGAAAAAGTTCATTCTCTGCAGCGATGCTTAAAAGGTGTTTTTCTTATAAAGCTGCTTTTCCTCTAAACAAGCAGTCCTGACACCATGTAGTCAGTGCAATCTAAACACCTTCCTCATTCTTTACTATAGAAATCTTTGTCCTGCCTGGAAGATTATGAGATCTGTTCATTTGCTATGTGTGGTTATTCCAGAAATGGGCGGGAGATTTTTTTTTAAAGATGGAAACTAATAAGCATTTGGGTTTAAAAGAACTAATAAGATTGTATTAAAGTCCCAAAAAGTTCTGACTTAAAATTCCAGAATAATCTTTCCCATTTCTAAAACTAGAAAATTCAATGAAAATGACTAATCAGATTTGTACAGTTCTCTGGTATTGGACCATTACTAAGGCTCTTGGTTTTTTTTTTAGTTGCCAAATTGAAATGGAATACAGTGGAACAGAAAAGATTAGAGAGAGGGTCTAGCTAAGGGCAAGAGGAGTTTTAATTAAAATTAATTCTACTATATTCAGTTTATGTCAATGAACTTAAGACTTTGGCAATGCATAATTTAGCCTCATGGCTTAATAGATTTTTTTTTTTTTTGAGTTGGAATCTCACTCTGTCACCCAGACTGGAGTGCAGTGGCATGATCCCGACCACCGCAGCCTTGACCTGCTGGGCTCTGGCGATTCTTCCACCTCAGCCTTCCAAGTAGCCATAACTACAGACATGTGCTATCACACCCGGCTAATTTTTGATTTATTGTAGAGACAAGGTCTCACCAAGTTGCCCAGGTGGGTCTCGAACCCTCAGGCTCAGGCATTCCACTCGAGGATTTTTTTATTTACTTATATCTTACTAAAGAATACGTCATGCAGAGCCATGTAATTGGCTTTAATATAGTCTGGCTTTAATAGGGAAAAATATGTTGACAGGATGTTTTTTGATAGATGTTAATTGTCTTCTGTTAGGCTAAGCATTGATCATATAAGATTTAGCTATGTCTTCAAAGTCATTCCGAAGGCTTTTAGGTAGACATAGTGGTCTAAACTCATTAGTCACTAAAGTTACACCTCCTCTTATGCAACTACATGGGAACAGTGAGCACTAAGTAAGATAATTTTAAATGGAACTTATTAGAAAAAGTAATCTTTTTTCTGTTAGTCAGATTTCTCTAAGGCATACTTGCATTATGAATAGTAGATAGGAAAATTCATCTACTAGATATCCAAAACTCAAGGCGCCTTCACAGTTTCCAAATAAGCTGTTGTAAAAAATTGCTAGCATAAATAATTTCTCCACTATTCTCTTAATTTGAATTATTGGGGAGAAAAAAGACAAATCCTAATTGTAGTCTTGTTGTATAATAGAACAAACTCTAGTATTGGGAAAGAGAAAGGGAAGAAACAATTACTCAAGAACCCTTGGCTTGGTTTTCCAGTTCTAGTTGTATCAGATGATCTAAGATGTTTAGGAACACCCTATACTTTGGAGACAACTTTATTTCCATTTCATTAAAAAAAAAAATAAACCAACATTAATGTGATCAAATAATGTTTACTGAAATGCTACAGACTGTAAAGCTATAAATTTAAAAAGGTAAATTAGATGTGGGTCTTGACTTCATGGAATTAAGGGTCTAATAGAGATGTTAAGGTTTGAAGACTAGTGTGTGTGTGCAGAGGAAAGCAGTTACCTTCTATAGAAGTGGGAAGACTTGAACCTTGGAGACCAGCTGACACTGACTTTGAATCTCCACTCTATCTGTACTGGTATTCTTGGTCAAGCTACTGAACTTACTTAAGCTGTTTCCTTATTTGCAGGTTAGAAAAAGTAATATTTACCTCATAGAGTTGTTGGGAGGATTAGATATCTAAAGCTAAGAAACTCTTTTAGCTCCAAACATGTAATATCTACTTGTTCAGAATCTCCTTTTGAAAACTTCAAAGCCATTTTAAGCTTAAGTTCAAAATCTATCTTGTGAGCTCTCGCCCAGAATTTTTTTTATCACCATGAATGGAACCAACGGTCTATCAAGCCAGAAATCTAAGAATCACCTTCCACTTCTTACTGCATTTTCCAGTTTATCCAGAGCTGTTGATTTTACGCCATAAATTTTGTTCCTCAGGCCGGGCCTGGTGACTTGCACCCTTAATCCCAGCACTTTGGGAGGCTGCGGTGAGAGAACTGCTTGAGCTCACAGGTTCGAGACCAACCTGGGCAACTTGGTAAGACCTCATCTCTACAATAAATGAAAAAATTAGCCAGGCATGGTGGCGTGTGCCTGTGTTTCCAGCTACTTGGCAGGTTGAGGCAGAAGGATCACCTGAACCCAGAAGGTCAAGGCTTCGGTGGCCGTGCGCATGCCACTGCACTTCAGCCTGGGCAACAGAGTGAGACTCCAACTAAAAAAAAAATTTTTGTTCCTCAAGTTAGTTCACTTATCTCCACTTCTACCAGCCTAGTTCATGCTATCATTATTTCTGTCACATGTGCTACTGTAACAGCCTGCTGTCTCTCTAAATCTTGTCCCATACTCAACCAGAGTAAAAATTATTTTTAATGTACATATGGGTGATTTTTTTGCTTAAAACTTTTCAACGAATTTCCATTACCCTTAGTCTACAGATAAAATATTTAATGACATATTTGTTTCACCCTGTTCTGTCTTGCTCACTCACTTATATTCCTGAGGCCTTAGCGTAGTACTTTTCCATAGTAGATGCTTAGTGAAAGAGCCAAACCGGTAATTGAGAAATGTAGGCTGTCCTTGTGTTTCCTTTGTTAGGCTGCATTTGAATATATGTTCACATTTATAGGGATGTAAGTTAAATACTATTTATGAATAAAATAATGTTTTTGGTTGGGCACCGTGGCTCATGCCTGGAATCCCAGCACTTTTGGGAGGTTGAGGTGGAAGGATTGCTTGAGGCCAGGAGTTGAAGACCTGCCTAGGTCATACATCAAGAGCCTGTCTCTATTTATAATTTTAAAAATTTATTTTATTTTATTTTATTTTTTATCTATCTATCTATCTATCTGTCTATTTATTTATTTATTTTTTAAATTGTAGTCTCACTCTTGCCCAGGCTTGAGTGCAGTGGCACACTCCTGGCTCCCGCAGCCTCAACTCCCTGGGCTCAGGCAGTCTCCACCTCAACCTTCCAAGTAGCTGGAACTACAGGCACGCGCCACCATGCCTAGCTAATTTTTTGATTTATTGTAGAGATGAAACCTCAACAAGTTGCCCAGGCTGGCCTTGAACCCGTGGGCTGAGGCAATCCTCTCACCTCGGCCTCCCAAAGTTCTGGGACTGCAGGCTTGAGCCACAGTGCCTGGCTACTTTTTATATTTTATTTTAAAGATGTGGGGTACAATTCAGGATTAAGTATACCAGTGGACATTGTACAAGTAAAATTTGGGCCTCTACTTTGCCTGATTTAGGATCAGGTATCCTTATTGATGTTGTGTCTCCACCCCCACCCTGGCAGTATCCCGCTACTGCCAATCCCTTTCTTATAGTATTGTGATAAATGTTCAGGGTCCACTTATGAGTAAAAAAGTTTAAATAATATCTTTGATGACTTCTCTTTCCTGTCTTTTCACATCCTCTCTATCACTGTTTCTTCATCCCCCAATCCCTCACAGTACCATTTTATTTATTTGAAGTTGCAGAGCCACAATTCAAGAGCACTCTTTTATTCTCCCATATTATTAATGAAGGACAATCATTTGAAATTCATGTGAATACCTTCTTATAAGCAAAATATTTGCTATACATGATGTAAAGGGAAGCATCTCTTTGGGGTACAGCAGACAGGTAGCTAGCTAGTTGTCCTCCCAAGTGGACAAGCAAATCTACCATTTCATAAATTAAGTACAGCTGATAAGGCCCAAAGCTGCAAGGGTCATTCAGACGAATACTTGAGAATCTCAAGAGTTCTGTTAGTAATTAGTCTTGCTCTGCTCTTTAAAGAGAATGCCAAGGCCTTAAGAGAGCAGAGGAGGCCAAGCTCGGCGGCTTGGCAGCTCAGCCTATAATCCTAGCACTTTGGGAGGCTGAGGCATGCCTGAGCCTGCAGGTTTGAGACTAGCTCTGGCAACTTGGTGAGACCTCGTCTCTACAATAAATCAAAATTAGCCAGGCTAGTTTCGGCTACTTGGAAGGCTGAGGTGGAAGGATCACAGGAGCCCAGCAGGTCGACACTGGGGTGACCATGAGCATGCCACTGCACTCGAGCCTGAGCAACAGAGTGAGACTCCAACTCCCAAAAAAAAAAAAAAAAAAGAGCAATGGAGTACTGGGTAATATAAGAATGTACGTGGACTAGTGAATAGGAATCGAGGCATATTTTCTGTATGTCAGGTGGTTTCCAGGGAGAAGTGAGGACTAATTTTTTAATGCCATATCCACCCGTGAGTTATGCTTCAGAGTCTGGGAGTTAGCCATGGCTACTATAATTTTTGTATTTTAAAGAAAACCAAGACTCTGACCTTTTAAGGATGGGTTCCTGCTTATTACCTTTCTACTAAGGAGCTGTGGCATAATAATCATTTAATATGTTTGATCTTAATCTCACTTTATCTTCCCTTCTCTCTGCAAGTACAGTTAGGCAGATTTTGTAAGTGATGAACCAAAGCTGGGAGGGGGCCAACAGAGAGATTTAATTCAGGTAGGGATTTAGACCTAGGCCTCCACTACTTGTTTCATCACTATTGTGTCTAACCTCAGTAACTAAATTTGTGTTAGATTTACAAATTTCTTAACCTGATAGGGAAAGGACTTTGACATCCGTAGATGAATGGTGCCTTATAGGTATAAAGTAACAACCAGAAGAGTGAATTGCCTGTAAAGGTATCTAGAAACTAAAGAGAAAGATACCATTTCTGTCAGAGGAGAAGTTGAGAATTTAAAAGTTTAGTATCTTAAAAGTTATAAATTTCTGGGAATCATTTTTCTAATGGTTTTATGCTGTTATTTATACTGTTTTGGCTGTATTCACACACACTCCTTTGTTTACAATTCCCTGGTATCTTGTGCTGCTGTCAGTACAGGCATAACAGTCACAGAGAAAGTCAGCAGTCCTACATCTTAGATGACTTTGTTTCTTTGGGAAGTTGAAGAAAAGTGCTTGCTTTTTGGTTTTTGCTTGTTTGGTGTGTATGTTTGCACTTTTAACTAGTATTAGGTGAAGTTAGATTAATATCACCCAGGTTGTTTTGTAAAGCCAAAGAAATAAATAGTTGGAAATAATTTAAAGACTATTTTGGTACTTGAACGACTTTGTTGTTTTCTGACCATATCGATTGTACCATTTATAGAATTACAGAAGATTTAAGTTGAGCAGAAGCAAGTTACAGGAGTTTTTTTGGATGAGAGAATATAAGTAAGCAATATAGGTCTTTTTATATCATGTATTTGGAATGGGAGCACTAATATAATTTGTATTTATCACACTTAAGGAATTCAGTATTAATCTCCATCCTACACTCTCTTGCTATTCTTCTGAAAGCTTTAAGCCACCAGCACCATGGGCATAAGGAGCCATCTCTTCTGGCTTTATCTTTTTTGGATATGGTAGCTAAGCTCCAGCTTAAATACAACCTTGGAAAAATGAGCATTTTGTAAGAGATAAAAGCAACAATGGCATAGTGTGATGCTGAACACGTAGGCAACAAACAAAACATCCCGACTGAAAAATGGGCAAAAGCCTTGAATAGATATTTCTTCAAAGAAAATATACAAACAGCCAATAAGCACATGAAAAGATGTTCAACATCATTAGTTATTAGGGAAATGCAAATCAAAATCACCATGAGATGCCACTTCATACCCATTAGGATGACTCTTATAAACAAAAAACAACTAATAAGTAATTGATAAGGTTGTGGTGAAATTGGAACCCTTGTGCACTGATGGTAGGAATGTAAAATGATACATCTGCTGTGGAAAACAATATGCTGGTCCCTCAAAAAATTAAATATAGAATTATTTATTATATGGTCCAGCCATTCCTTTTCTGGATATGTACCTAAAAGGTTTGAAAAACAGGACCTCAAGCAGCTATTGTTCACCTTTGTTCATAGCAGCATTGTTCATAATAGCCAAACAAACCTGAGTGTCCATCAACAGATAAATGGATATGCTATATACAGTGATATGCAAGGGGTCCCCCCAAAAAAAGTTGAATTAATTTTTGGAGAGAGGCCCCTTGCAAGGCTTCTCCCCGCTAGGTAAATATTCTAGGAACATCAGCAACACAGTACCAGCTAGCATTGTGAGAGATTGTATTTGGCTTCAGTAGATTTTTTTTTTTAAGTGTCTATCACTGTGTTTGCACCACGCTGAGCATTCAACAGTTTTTGACCCCTGTTCCCCGTGCCCCACCTTCCTATTCACCTGATCTTGCCCCCAGTGACTTTTGTTTTCCTGGATACAAAAAGTCCTCAAAAGGAAATGTAGAAGAAGTGAAATTTAAAATGGCAGAATCACTAAAAATGTAACACAACTGACGAGTTCAAAACCATTTTGAGCAGTGGAAAAAGTGTCTCAACAGGTGTGTTGCATCAAACAGCGAGAGTACTTTGAGGGTGACTGAAGTTTAAACATGTAAGAGTAAATACACAATTTTTAATAAGTAAATTCTGGGGAGTTTTTAGTCTCCTCTAGTATCATTTGGCTTTAAAAAGGAGGCTATAGGCAGTGATTCACACCACTTTGGGAGCCCAAGAGTTTAAGACCAGCCTAGGCAACCTAATGAGACCTCATCTCCCCCCCAAATTTTTTTTTTTTTTTTTTTTTTTTTTTTTT